CACCACCACCATCAAAATAATGTCTCTGAAGAACTGAAAACCTAGAGGCAGAAGACCTAGAAAGTCTCCAGATTCTACCCTCAAGGGGGTATGTGCAGATGAAGCCTGCATGCTGCACTGCTAAAACAGACTATTCTCAACTCAGCAGGTTCTACACAAGCCATTTATTGGAAATGCCAACTATATGTAGGATAAAGTCAGTGTTACATGCTTATCAGTAACAGTAGAAAAATAGAGCCAGTGAAAACCTCTGTACAACTGTAATGGTACTCAAAGAGAAATGTATCGTTACAATGCTTCACACAGACGAATTCAAGTTTGGAGGTACCTAAATAAAAATACTATATATTTCTTTAAAAAACACTATGTACAATTGAAGCGTAAACAAGTTTTACAAAGTACTGGTTATGCAGGTTGTAGAAAACACTTGCATAGGACATGAAATCAGTTTAAGAAAAATTTCTGAGCCTTTAGCATTGAAGGCACTTGACTTTATACCAGTAACAGCACAACCACGAGAAGCGCAGTGGTGTAGGTCCTCCTCTCTGCAGTGCACATGTGGTGAGTACATGGCAAGTGGAGTTCGAGAACCCCTAGTTTTCAGCCACCTCATCGAAGAGCAGGATTCCCTCCACCTGCCCAGATAATCCAGATACACAGTCCCGCGCAGATACCTCTGAGCTTCCAGAGTTTATATGATCCCAGAACTCACATGAATACACAGACACAAGAAGTTATTTCCAATACACACATGCAAATAGTCTTTCTAGGGCAATGACCACAGCAGTATAATATTCAGAGTACGGAAGATTGATAGTCATAGATGGTTTTCTTTGGGAAAACAAAAATCAAAAGACTTGCCCAGACAATAACCATGTAACAGGTATTGCAACTGACAGGACAAAATAACTTACCATTTCATAAAACATTGTTCACACAAGTGTTAATGGAGAACAGAAGAGCTAGTGGTGTGCAGGATAGCTTTCAGCAAAGTTATCTGTAAAGAGGCTTGCAAGCCAACTACATGGTAGACAAAGTGAACCACTGCAGAGCCGGGAGTAGCACCCATCACTGCGGCATTAATAGAGTCTATTGACTACATGAGCTGAACTCAGTCCTAAGAAACAAGTGAATGCCTTAGAATGGAAAAACAACCGTAGTACAAAAATTCCATCACTTTCCCCTAAAAGGTAAATTCAACATTATGAAGACATACATCCTGTGGGGTAGTTGCTGGGAGTGTTGATCCTTCAACTCTAGAGAATGTGCCTGAGGTCACCTTTGGGCAGCTGCCACCACATGGTATTAACCGGCTCTCATTACATTCTGAAGCATTAGCTTCACTCAAATGTGTAAGGACTGTGCCCACTTCTGACCTTCAACAACTAATGAAAGAAAATACAAGAAAGGCCAGGTGTGGCAGCGCATGCCTTTAAATCTGTGGGAGTTCAAGGCTGGCCTGGTCTGGTCTACTTAGCAAGTTCCTGGGCAGCCAGAGCTACATGGTGAGACCCCATCTTAAAAAAAAAAATAAAGTAAAAAAGGGAAAGAAAATGAATAAAGGATGACAAGTGTAAACAAAAAACAAAAACAAAACAGCCACTGAGAAAGCAAAACTAAGAAATAGTTTTAGTTTCACAGAGCACAATTCACTAAAAAAATCCTAAAAGTCTAATGAGTTACTAAAAAGGCAGGAGTGGTGGCATATACATTTAATCCCAGCACTCAGGAGACAGGAAAAAAATACTAACGGGAACGCGAATGGGCAGTGTATGGGCTTTAAGCATCTATGCTCTGAATGACTTTTTACTTTCATGCTATTATTTTTCTCCTTAGGAGCCACAGGTGATTTTTAACTTATTTTCGTTCTTTTCTTTTTTGGTCTTTTTGAGACAGGGTCTCCCTGTAGCCCCAGCTGACTTGGAACTCAGTATGTAGACCAGGCTGGCCTTGCACTCACAGAGATCCACCTACTTCTACCTCCCAAGTGTTGGGATAAAAGGAGTGGGCTACCATGTCCGGCCATTTAACTTATTTTTTCAAAATCACTAAAATAATAATGTAGAGAAAGCATCAGCAGCATCTTTGAAAAAAAATCTGACTACTGCTCTTCTGCTGGAATCAAAAGGGTGGCTCTCCAGCCTTGCATGCAGTGGGACTGGAAGAAGTGATTGTCCAAACAGCCCGATTGTCCCTGGCCTCAAAAGGAGATCTAGGATTTTTGTGATTTGATTTTCACTAAATTTCTATTCCAAGGAAAATGCCAGTTCCTGTGGCCCAAGTTTTATATTATATATAAATATTATTTTTCTGAGATCAAACCTACTCAGACTTCACATTTATCTTAGTACAGCATTAAAAAAAAAATGGGTTCAACAGTCAGAGGCACAGAGTTAGTCTAACTTCCCTATGACCCATACTTTAACAGAGTCTATTAACAACTATCTTATCGCACACACAAAACACATCTGTGTTTATCTTTTGCAAGTCACATCAGTCCACAGTCCCACAAATTAAAGTAAGATTTCCTTCTATACACAGTTTGGCCAGGTAATCTACTAAAGCACTAAAAAAAAACTTTGTAAATTAAATATTATTATGAACAGCTCCCACTAATTCTATAATTACATTGTAGGGATATGAAAGCACATGTAAATGAATTTTCAAGAAAATGAAAGTGTGAGATCAAAAGCCCTTACATGTGATAAAACAAAATCAAACAAAACCTGTCAAAGACGAGGAAACTTTTCCTACTCTTTAGGTCTACTCATTTTTAGGTGCATTATCTGCACAATTAGACTGATTCAGAAAAGGAATCTAAAACTGCATCCAAGAAATTCCTGTCAACGTGTCACAGAAACATGCACTGAGGAATAGAAAGGAATTACCTTCTCTCGGCAGATTGAGATTGGCCTTCAAAAGGTACCAACAACTATAATAAGGGTTAACACTTTGAAATGGGCAGAGAGACCTATGGTTTTCTACCTTTAAGAGGCTCAAAGGTGACGTGACCACACCTCATAGCAGATGTGCCTGACCTATGCAAGGATCTGAGCTCAGTATGTGATGTCACTAAGGTTTGTCAGTTATAGGATGCGTGAGCAGCAGCTAGCTAGTCAGGTGGTGGGATAAGTGGCAGCAGCTGCCAGTGTAGATGGAGACAGACATGTTTCTCATCTTTGAGATTATCTACTCTTAGGATTGTGTAAATGTCAGATTATTCCTGAGTGTATATCCACAGGGTAAAGGAGGAAAAGATCATTAGAGAAACTATAGTTTCAGGAGAAATCAGAGCTGTTTATACCCAATAGAAACCTATTTACTTCAAAGTGCATGTAATTCATTTATATGGTAGCTTGTAAAGGCTCCCTAGCCCTGCATAGTTTTAGAGTGAGTGTGAGTGATTCA